GACACATGCACTGGCTGAACACTATTACATCAGCGATCTCATTGTCAGTTGCTGATTCCACTCCCAACACAGAAGATGTCAGATTGTGCAGCAGTTGTGGTCTGCCTTAGTCACCAGATTGGTTTATTATTATTTATTTTACATTTACAAACATATTACTGGTGAAGCCATATCTCATATTTACTGTGACAAATATGATTGTACAAGTGAGTACTACATCATGGCCACCTACGAGAAAAAAAAATAATTACAAAAGCAAGCTTTTACGTTTACTTTCACCAGGATCTGAGGAGACAAATGGGCCTTCTTGAGTTTCCTCAAGAAGAAGAGATGCTGGTGAGCCTTCTTGATCAGGGTTGAGGTGTTCAGGGTCCAAGAGAAGTCCTCAGAGATGTGGACACCCAGAAACTTAAAGTTGGAGACACGCTCAACCTCGGTTCCGTTAATACGGATGGGGGTGTGTGTGCCGCCATTCCTATTTTCTGAAGTCCACAATGATCTTTTTGGTGAGTAGGCCCTTTTCACAGCAGCCATTTTGACATAAAATAGAGTAATCTCATTAAGCAACCTGAGGATTTCTATTGCCATGCTATTCAAACTTCCGACGTTTTCTAAATGATTTTCGGACTGTAGTCAGGATCAAGCAATTAAGTAGTTGCCATTATCAGATACAGGGGAGTGAGTAAAAAAGGGGAATGTGACACGTGAGCAGTAGCAAGTACTAAGTAGCTATCATTGGCACAGTCAAATAGTAGCAGGTAAAGGAAGCAGCATTCTTATATTCGGAAATGAAGGGCAGAGAGTTAGCAATTAATACGTAAAGCAAACCACATAACAACGCTGTATCCATTGTGTTATTTCAAATATTTTTGCAAAGTAATCCCTTCATGGGAGAACTTGTGTACCGGTGACACAGACAGCAGCCACATCATCTTGCGAAGGTTTGTAGTCTACATGCAGTGAACAATACTTTTTAGAGTTTCATGCCAGTACTATTGGGGCTCACTGTGGAGTAGATAAGACTATGAAATCATGCATTATAGCTCTATAGCTCTATAGAGCCTATGGAAATATTTACATATGTCATATTTTAGTGTTCTCAATTGTTTCAGAGGTCAGAGAGTCAGAGATGAAACTCAAGAGATTAATTCTCTTAACATAGAAGTTTTATTTAAGTTAGGCTTTGGTTTGCATTTAAGGTGTCAGAGCACTTTGAAAATGTGGGGGTGGACCTTGTAGGTAAGTTAAAGTGCTCTAACATTGGACAAATACATTTGTGTCATGGTAAACTATTTCACTAGGGCTGAGGAATCCTATCCTGCCTGCATGATGACTTTTCTGATTTAATGCATGAAAGTGCTGATAAGCAATCAGAAGCAGTAACCATATTAGATTGTTTTCTTCCACACATTTTATTGCTAACAGTATTCCCTATTAATTCAGCTTTGTACACTGACACAATGTTCTGAACTTCTATTTTTCACTGCTATGTCACAATGTTCTGCACCTTTCTCTCTCTCTCTCTTCTCTCTCGTCATTCTCGTCCTCTCTCTCTCTCTCTCCTCTCTCTCTCTTCTCTCGTCTCTCTCTCATCTCGTCTCTTCTTCTCTCTCTCTCCGTCTCCTCCTCTCCTCTCTCCTCCTCCCCTATATATATAATATTATATATAATATACATACCATTATATCTGTTGATGACGTCAGTTCAATATAGTTTGGTACTATTGTGCTCTTGGTACCGGTTTAAGGTTTCTCCCCTTTTAGTGTTTGCCTGCAGGACTTGTTTTCTATGGCTGGCAAGATGATTCGCTCAGGAGGGTATTGCTGATGATGGAACTGTGGGGCTTAGTTTTTAGATTACTTATGCCTACATTTTCCTGGCCCTTAGCATTCGCCCTGTCCAACCCCCAAAACTGTAAAACCTGGAACTCATTATGCTTCTAACAACTCCTGTTGATAATTGCCTTTGCCAGGGTGTGATCCACTATGTCCTTTGAAATTTGCCCATATGCAAATATAGCTGAACCCCTTCCTAATTCGTAGAGCATTTCCAACATTTCAACTTGCATTGCAGATATAGCGATGTTTTAAATGCTCACTTCATTCTGAGAACCTAAGTGTTCGACATAAGTTTTTAGATTGGTTTCTGCCTGCTGACGAAAAAGTGTAGCTATGTATCCATAATCTAGGGCTGCTCTCATAAGAGGTTCTATAAAATTTGATAAATATTTCCTGCTTGTTCCCAATTTTTTCTCCCTGTCCTCTATCCTATGTTTTCACATGAGAGACATGTTGGCGAAATAAGGGAGCTTGCCCAATACATATGGCGGAGGCCCAGCATTGCAGAAGTCCTTGGTATGATCAGTAGCCTTGGCAGAGATCTTCAGCATGGACAGAAAGTTGCTTTGGTGCTACTCCCCAGTGATTGACAGTCAGTGTTGGCAAAGTAGCAAGTGACTAAGGTCCCTGAAGAAACTTGGGCAACCACATATCATTGTATAACCCAGGTGTCAGCACACTCAATAGGTGTTGTTTAATGTCTTGAGTGATGCAGGTGGACGAGCAGTACTCACTTGGACTGTGATTTCAGCTACTCTCGAAGACAAACAGCTTCAGGTGAGATCATCTGCAATTCTGATATATTCCGTGGAAATCCTGGGAGAAAATATTGTTGGTTTAACTGAAGCCCCATTTACACGAAGGGAAAACGCAGATATTTTCTGCGGTTTTGGCCTTCTCATTTACACGAAAACCCCGTTTTTATTAATAGAAAAGATTATTTCTAAAAACTCCGTGAATTTTAACGCTGGTTATGTGTTGCCGTGTCAACTGGGAGAAACGGGTTTTAGGTTTCAAACGTCAATTATGTGCCAGAAAATACTTAACGTCACGTGAGCGCCCTATGTTTACAGTTTTGTTTGGTTACTGATCATTGTAAATCGTAATCAGGAAGTCGCTTGTGTTATTCATTGTTGTCGAGGATTCTGATTGGCTTGCATGGCTTTATCCTTCTCCCTACATCTGCCCACAGGTTTGGAATAGTTATGATGGCGCTCGACGGCGTATTTATGCGGGTTGATGTAAATGACAACTTTTTTGAAAAATTTTTCCGATGTGGTGTGCAACCGATGTTATTATTGAAAACGGGGGGGGGGATTTGTTTCTCTAAATACCCGGCTATGTGTAAATGTGGCATTATGCTGCCCTGGGGATCCTCAAGACTTCAAAGAGTGAGTGGTCCTGGTGCCAAAAAAGGATGGCAGCATAAGGTTCTGCATAGACCTCAGGTACCTGAATTAAGTTTCTCTGTTTGATTCATATCCAACACCAAGAATTGATTGAACTGCTGGGAAAAGCAAAATACTTGACCACACTAGATCTGTGCAAGGGTTACTGGCAGGTTCCACTCACTGAGCAATCCAGGGAGCTGATAGCCCTCAGGACATCATGGGGTCTCTTCCAGTTCACGGTCCTGCTCTTTGGCTTGCACAGGGCTCCAGCAAAACTTCCAGAGGCTCATCGACCAGTTACTTTGGGATTTCTCACAAACTTAAGAACACCTCAACGACGGAAAATAATGACATATGCATCTGCGTATGCTAAAGTAGAGGCCAGTATTGCAAAAGGACAAGAAAGGATGAGGGAAGAGGAAGCTATTTAAAGATGGAAGATGAGAGCTCTGTGAAATAATTTACCTTGACTATCATAATATGTAAAGCTTATAAATTCCTGCAAAATGCATAGCTTCCACTTCCACTCATCCTTCAGCACTGCAGACCAGTCCAGTCCACACAATACCCCTTTGGCTTCCAGTCTCCAGTCATACAAACACAGCCCAGAGGAATATAAATCTATACGTACATTCAATACAATTTAATTTTAGCGACAAAATACTGAAAGACATTCTGCATACACATTGGAGTCTTGTCATATGCCTCAGTAGGACTTGGCTGACCTTTTAGAAATTGATTCTGCATTCAGTTACAATGACTGTCTTGGTAAACAACTCTTCTAGTTATCAGTAATGGCACTGTGTGCTGTGAAGCAAAGTTGGACCATGTCAGCCACAGATGTGCAAAATCTGGTCCCAGGGAGGGGGCTAGAGAGTGAGGTGAATGATATTTTAGATCTTTTTAATGCCAAAAATTACACTTTTGAATACATTCATCCATTTTGACTATAATGTGGCAAAGATCAATCAAAGGATTAAATAAAGTGACAAAATCAGATGATGATGTTGATGAAGAAAATCAATTATTGTCCATTCTGTAAAGGGAATTAATCTAATTGAGGGGAAATCCAGATGATAAAGACAGGGAGGAACGAGGGAAGCTGCAATGCAGAGAATTAGCTTAGACACACGGATAATAGAAGTGAGCAAATCCAAAATCACACACAATTCAAAGAGCCCAGAACATGAACTACCACTGAGTGTGATTTAACAATTGGGTGAAGAACCAGGGTTGATATACTGCAGCGTTGATTAGTGGATGGATTCCAGGTGTGCAACTTGGAGCAGGTGTGTAGATTGAACAGTGAATCAGGAACTGGAGGAGAGAGCAATGCCACGCATACCACACAAACAGAAGGACACAGGGAAAAACAGTAAACACAGGGAAAAAGGGAAACACAAGGGAAATAACTGAGGTTGTAACAACGCTTGGGTCATTTGGAGTAAAGCACTTAAATGACACGGTATTGATTAGCACTAAATGGCAAATAAAGTGGTCTGTAGTGTCTGTATTTTACTACACTATATACAAAAACCAAGGATAATGACTTTGTAAATCATTAAGTCCATGCCTTCTGTACTGTGTTGTGGGTAGAATATTACCACTTGTATTAGCAATGATTTAGTGGGTTTTGACAGGATTGTCCAAGTTAGTTAATTACTGTTACTCTTATTTTCATAATGTCGTAGGAGGCTGTAATGTAGTGGTCAATATAGCCTCAGCCACGAGAAAAAAAACCCTTGATAAATATGTATGTGTATTTTCTAAGATGAGCCCAAGGTAACCAGTTGTTTTAGATTAACCCAAAACGAAATGTTACCTGGATTCTGACATACTTAATCAATACATGACTGGAAACCAAAGAAATGTGATGACTAAAGTGGCTCATAGTGAGGAAACACACAATACACGCATAGTAAGATCAGAGTACATCTGCTGTAAACATTCATGAATTATGTAACGATTGAGGGTTATATCATCAAAAGGTATTAAATGAGCTGGCAATGGCACGTTAATGTGTTTTCCCCCATCCTTTATTCTTAAATGCATGTGTGTGATTACCAGCTTGCAGCATGCTGGTTGTCTTTGTCAAACAATAATGGTAAAATTTAAAACATAGCAATTAAAGTGTTAGAATAAAAACAGTGAGGTGAGGTTCAATATGGTTTACACAATAGGCCGTGAGAATGAACAGAAGACTGCTGACGAGTGGCTAATTTACATCATCACACCATCATCACAGTATCATCAAACTCCATGCTGGGATGCGAGCTGGCAGGACTTATTGCACTCTGTCTCAATCAGCTGCTCTCTCATCTCAGACACTCAGAAGAGAAGCAGGAGAGCAGCCACACTCTTTGGCTGTCTGTCAGGTTGAGTACCAATTTAACAGCAGCAAAACATGAGTTTACTGAAGAGCTTTTCTATGATATTTAGACTCAGTGGTGGGTCTGAGGGGCAGGGGCGAAAAAAGTGAAAAAGGCACCAGCTTGCAGAAAGTCATTGTGCATTTACGGGGAAACAGTTCCAAACCCTGGTTATGAGTAAAATTGTTTTATTATGTGACTTAGATTTGAAGTATAACTACACCTCTGTAATAAAAAACACTGGGAACTATTTAACCAAAAGATTTTATAGTATGCAGAGCACTCTAGAGGGCACTTGATCACACTTTCTCCACTGGAAGAACACCAAAGATTGCATTCAACCCAAGAGGAAAATTGTGCTTTATTGTTTTCAGTGCACCTTCCAGTGGTTACATCCTTCCCTTCACTTATTACTTTTAAATACGAGGCGATAAGTAAACACTTTGTTCAGCTTTGACATTTAATTTACTGCAAGGAAAAAAACGTGTCTCCATGCATCCGTTTGATTTTCATCTGCAGGAGTCTGTCTGTACAGGGCTGACATAAACCACTTTTTAATTCAAGTAATGTCTCCAAGCAAGTTATGCACTTAGCTACAATATATGTCTGTATCTTACATCACTAGGCAGATGCTGTATAAACAGTTTTAAATATAACTTTCCAAGAAAAAGTTGGCACAACTTTCCCCAGATGAGAGGTATGTTTAGCTAAAGCAATACAACTTGTGAAACACAGGCAATACAGTGACATGCGATCACGTTACTGGCAATAAAGTAGTACAGTGCAGTACAGTTGAAGTCCTATACGATATGATCTCAATATAAAGCAATCAGGAGTCCCGTCATCATAATTTTAATCACAGGATGTTGATTTTGGTCATTTAAACTGCACAGTAAAATGCTGATTAGCTGTCAAGCTGAGCTTTCTAATTATGAAGAATTACAACTTTTGTGACTAATTTTAGAAGAAAATACTATTTGTGTCTTTTTTTTACAATGAAACATATAAATGGTTTGTCAGCTGTGATCGGTTCCAGACTCCAACAACCCTGCAAAGGATAAGTGGGTATATATAAAGGATGGACGGATATAAATGATAGGGTTTGAAGTGCTTTATTTCAAATCAAATATGCCAGTAGCTAAAATGTTCAGCTCCACTGAGCAAACTGTGAACCACTTTTAGATTACAATTACTTCTACAGGAGCTGGAGCTGGAAAAGGAAAGGGAGCGAAAGAAAGAATCAGCGGGAGAGCAAATAACGCTGAAAATTCAAGAAATGCTCACAGCACTTTCATAGAACCGAACACTAACCACCAGCACATTTGTGAAATGAGAAGACAACAGCGTGAGCTTTATGTGCACTTAACAAACAATCAGCATTCAAAATCACATTAAATTTGTCCCTGTTTATAACTTACAGTTATAAACTTGTTAACAACTTTGAGAGTCAATGCATCAGTATTGTGTTACTCCTTTAAGACAGAAAGGCTCTTGTGATTCAACACAAGATTAAAATATAATTGATTGAAGCTGCTGAAGGATGTGAAGATAGTGAAACCAATGAGTTCAAAGATGTAGATACCTTATATAACATCATATTTAGAGTGATGGCCATGGGGAATAGAGAAGAAAAGCTACAAGAAAAACAAACGGGCCTTTCTATTACTATTGAAATGGGTGGTTTCGTCTCCTGTTGCTTGATAGCCGTGGAAACATATTGGCTACAATTTTTATGAATAAAAGCAAAAAGTGAAAATTGCCTTTTTTTCCCTGTTGGTGGCCGAAGACCCCTTTTTACACTGAGCAAGTGTTTCCAGAGATATGTGTAATTGCCTGGTGAAAGCAAGCAGCCATGCAGTTTTAGAGAGCCTGTAAGTTTTCCCAACAGGGGGTTACATATGTGGACCTTTACTGGTTTCTCAACACTTAAGGGTTCATAAGGATGGCTGGATTGTGTCCACCCAGACCATCGCTTCAGCGCTGTGAGGAGGCCTTCGTGGTACGCTGAAGAGAACTCATGAAAATATAAGTGGATGACCTTTTTCTACTAAGAGAGCAGTGGAAAAGATTTTACAATAATCATCGTCTATTGAAAAAAAAATTTTTTCATGTGAGAGGGTGAGTGCTCCCAGGATTGTTTTTAGTTCTAAAAATGCATTCAGATAATGTTTGGCTAGTAAATGTAGTGTTATACTCTCTTGTTCGTTGCCTCTACTATTGTTACTCTGCTAACATAAGGTTGTAAAGTGGTTTATTTTACACCCATTACATGCTGGATTAATGCCGGCACACAAATGTTAGTCTGACAGCTGCATGCCATCAACAGTTACCATCTGACGGGATGCTGTACACAGTGTGATGTCCATGATGTATGCGCTAAATGGATTATCTCATTAATGAGTCACCAAACAGGCTCTGCCAGTGTGTGCATTGTGCTACAGGCTGTGTAATATAATTACAGATTCATGCTCAGTAAACAGTTACAGACCTTTTAAAGAGGAGGTGAACAGGGACGGTTTTTCACATTGAAAAGCCTGACAAATTATGACAATAATTCGGCTAATAAGTGAGGTGCCATCTGCTCTCGTGCCTTCTTAAATCACAACCTGATTAAAGCACAATGTAAGACCATGAAGAAAAAGCTGGCAGGCTTGTATTTCAGCAGTGCTTATTCACTTGCTTTGACTTATCTTATCCTGTCTTGGCAGCAGCGTGGACAGCTCCTCCGGCAACATACAGTTCAATTACAAGTTGAGCAGAACTGAATGCATATAGTTGGGTCAAAGCAAATCAATTGATCAAGCCTAATAACATTTCTAAAAAGTCAGATGTAAGCCAGAGATTGACATGGATTCTTTCAAAATGTGACTTTGTTCACACTAACTTACCAACTGTTTGTCTTTTCAATGATGCTGTATCTTGTTTTGGTGAGCCAAAGTAAAAATATCCAACCTTCAATTCAATTCTATTCTATTCTATTAAAGTTAACCATTATGTTTGTGTGGCTCCAATCTATTTCTTGAAAATGCCCACTCAAACTAAGCATAATAATAGCTGACATGTCTATGATTTGATTTATTTTGACATCTGAAAATACACAGCTTGTCACACACTGCTACAAAATATGACATAGTCATTATATGTATATCAGTAAACCTCTGTGGCTTTAATCTTTACTGAAAAACTCTGTCCTTCAAAAATACCAAATGAAACATAGTAACACAATGACTCAACATGGCTGGAGCATGCTACATATGCCGAATATGGTCAAAGAGAAATGTGCTCTCAGCTCAGTTTGTTGTGTATGAATGGCTCAAATAAAAAAAAGCCTCAATATGTTGGTATAAATCTACATTATTAATTGCATTGCAGTGTTATTTATGTGTTGAGTTCTGTTTTTATCTTGTATGTGAAAGGTGTTGCTTGTAGTAATGAACCCACAAATAATTCCCACTTGCGTCTGCACCTCTAACTCTACATAGCTATATTTAAACTCATTGTTTACCTGCCTGGCTGCAACTTTATACTGTTTTTGCTTACTCTCATCGCATTGAATAATTTTAGCAAAAAAGGTCTAAAGCCTCCTGCTGTACATTACCTGCCCAGCATCAAAGTTAGTTGGTGAAGCATTTAGCAGCTAAAGAAAGGTATATTTTTAGAAATAAAAAAGCAGAGCTAAAAGAGAGTGAATATTGGACTTTAATTCAACAGGTGGCCAGTTGCTAATGTTCTGTTAGGTGTGTAAGTAACCAACAAGTTCTCTATATCAACTTTATGAGGTGGAAATAATGCAGTGTTGTGTTCAAAGCTCTTTATTGCTGCACAAAAGTGGCCAAAAAAAAAAACAGATTTAAGTTACCTTACATTATAAATTACCTTGTGAGACAAATAGTCACAATTAATTCCCCTCATATAATGTCAATATGGTACAAATACAATTCATATTACTGGATACTGTTACAGGTGAGTCCATTGAGCTGAACTTGGAGGTTTTTACAGTGAACCTAAACACACTCAGTTGATTAAAAAGGGACATATAAGTAAAAATCAATTTTAATCTAACGTGTAGTTTAGAAAAAAACATGACAAAAGTGACGCACGGAAATCAATAAGTGCTCCATCCCCTTTACCGCCAACAGCGCGTGCCATGAATTGCTGCGCGAGGGGACACAGAGAGACACACAGAGCACGCGCACACAGGCACATGGTGACACTTGTGACACGTGAAGCTCACTTTTTTCTTCTTCTCCCCGCGCGCCCGTGTGAAAGCGCCGCACGCTTGCTCTCGCCGCGTAACGCACCCAAATCCCGGACTGTAACGGGAAACCTTCAGTGCCAGCGTGCGTCCGGGGGACTCTCCCTCCGCAGAGGCAGCGATGACACCGTCCTCCTTTCCGAGAACCCCTCTGAACGCGCGGGAGCCGGACCTGAATGGGAACAACCACGTGGAATTTGTGAAATGACGTCCAGTGCGGCATCCTTCCCGCAGCTCAGATTTGCGGTGAAACTTTCTAATAATGTGGAGAATACTCAAATGATGCGCCGGCAACAGAGGGGACGCTTATCCTGAGCGTGAGTTTAAGGAGTCAAATGAAGGTGTAGTGATATTTTTTTGACAGTGCTGGGGATGAAGGCAGACCGACGAACTATGAACTTGTGGATATTAATCTTAAACTTTTATTTGTGCTGGACTTCGGTTGACGCACAGGTAAGAAAAACATGCATCCACAGTCGCTAATATGTGCTGCAAAACACATATATATTTTTTGCATTATAACAATTAACCCTTCCAGCACACCTTAATATGAATATATCAGCTAATTTGGGAGGGACCCCCAGCAGAAAACCTGGGATTACACAAGGAATATAGCAGTTTACGCTATATTCAAGCTCTAAAGAACATAATTGATAGTCTATTTCTTTTATTTCTCCATATTCTATATTTCCTCTTACAGTGTTGCGGAGTTATTTGATGATATATTTTGTAGTAAAATATTGTCAGACAGCAAGAAGTGGCTGCCTGTAGATTGTATAGTCTACAGCTCTGTAACACCCAACCTGTTGATGCGGGGCCAATATCTGCGTCTCTTTTCCTTTCTGAAATAATCCCATAAAGTCTCTTTGCATTTATAATCAGCTTGACTTTTCAGGAGGTGTTTGTTCTTGATGTGAGGGGCTGTGCCAATAGCCGTCGTCTGCCAATTTGTCTCACACTCCGGCAGTATTACATTATCTGATCAGCTCTCTCCAGCATCTGGTGGTATCTTATATGGTTTCTAATCAAATAAATAAGTGAGATGATATCTGGTGCCAACCCATAAAAAGGGTTAAACCTATAGCGGCTCCTCTAAATCAGAGAAGTGCTTTAATCTCACATGATCAGATGAGCAAATGTTTCATTTTGAATGTTGGCAGTGATGAGCAGTAAGAGAAAGGGACAGAGGCAGGTGAGGGAGTGTAGCCACCGGGTTATTTGTCTGTGACATTGGTTCAGAATAGAGTGAGGATGGGATGTAAATGGTGGTGTTATTTTGAACTGAGAGCTCCTTTATAATCAGCACCATGGTCAGCGCCTTCAGCACCAGGAGTCAGGACCTTTAAAGATACTGCATGGAGGGGACACAGTGGAAGAAGCACTGCAAGGAATAACAACATTATGCTGCTGTGAAATTCCAAATAAGAAGAGAAAAAGATGTGGTCAATTCAAATATTGTTGCTTTTCTAGTTTTTTTTTAAATCCCCAAATATCTGAGTCAGTAAGAGGGAATCAATAAAATCAACTAGCATCTGTGTCTGTACTTTAATGTAACTTAAATCCCATCCCAGAAGAAGATCAAATCCCTCTGGTGAAGTGGGCTTTGATTCACTTCTATTAGTCAGCCTGACATCATGTTTGTCTTGTCGGGAGGGCGTGTTACTTTATTCTTTTTGTGCCCTAACCCGTCAATAGTGAGTGACGAATCCATTGATGCAGATGTTCTTCTCAGTTGACACAGAAGCCGTGGTTGGAACTGGAACAATAATGTTTAATTATAAAGTATAATTTCCACATTAAAATACTTTAAAAATACATCTATTCCTTTCCAGAAACCATGAATATGCAAATGTTGTGCATTTTGCTGCTGGACACAAGATGTCTCCTACTTCAGTCCACTGTCAGTGTATTTGCACCGGTGGCTTCAGGTTCCTACATCACCCTTCTATAAAATGCAAAACCTGTAACAAGTGTTCATTATTGGAGTGCAGCTACTCTCTGCAAGTCTTTTTTCATGCCACTCATTTCCTAAGTGGTTTTATAGGGGCTGCCATTTGAACTTATTGCTACTTGTAGCTGCCTCCTGTAATCTGCCGAGTGAAACTAAACAGTTACATAACTTCTTGAAATCAAGCTCTAGGGAATAACTTTCTAATTTTGATTTGATGTTAATCCTTTCAGATGTGTTGCTGACAAAGGGCTCCTTCCTGATTGTGCATGAAAACGAGTTGCCTCAGGAATGTATGAATCTAAAACTAGACGTGCACTTTACTCATCTCTGAACGCGCAAACATGAAACACAAATGGTCAAAAGCAGCACTGGGACTTCTTCTTTGAAACGTTATTTGTGGTACGCCTGCGGGCATCTTTATATTTGCACATGAATAGATCCTAGAATTCTCAGCGAGGGAGAAGAAATCTGCTTTTAAGTTTCTTCCAGTAACCTTTTTTTGGGGGAAAACAAACATCCATATTGCATAAACATTTGAATGCAGAGTATTTCTAATGTGCCTGGAAGGTATCTTTAATAGTGGTTAAGACCAACGTGTGTGAAGTGTACAAAAGTTTACCCATAACCTACTGTCCGTAAATCATACTCGGCCAATGGCATCTCATCAAATATGTCTGATATATCTGAAATTTATATCGAAGTTCATTGAACACACACATACTAAGAAGTCTGAAAAGTGGCCATTCTCATCATCTCTGACAAACTGAGTCAGCTTGTCAGCATCAACACTGACTTGTAGGGTAACAGCCAAGTCTAACAAATGTATTTCCATGATGAGGCTAGTAAACTGCACCCTTGATTTCCATTGAAAACCCTAGACTACAAACAATGGATCACTTGAAGACACAGAAAAAGACACAATAGCCTGCTTTTAATCTCTGTGATTGAAACTTCACTCCTGTCTTTCTTTCCCCTCATCATTCTCTCTAATCATATCTCATTCTGCAACCCTGTTTCCTAAAAATGAAGGTTTTGTTTTGTTTTGGAGGAAATGTTGTTGTTGCTGGCTGGGTTGTGTTCACCAGCAACATTTTCTCCAGTTGATTAAATGCTGCATACTTGTGCTGCATAGGAGCCACAGGGAGATGGTTGGGGTGGATGGTGGGCGTACAAAGCACAGACTTTGATTCTGGAGAATGTGTGTAATGTGTCCCATGTGTGGTTAGGTTTAGGCTACAAAAAATGGTCAGAGAAAGATGGTGGTTAGTTTAAGATTGTAACTTTAGTTTTAAATGTTGAAGAAATAAACATGTGTTCAATATGTTTAAAAATATATATATTAGTATTATTATTGTTATGGCATTTTAAAGGTTTTTTAATGGATAGAAACTGAGATCAACAGAAATATCTTTAACATATTCAGGCATAAGTCCAGTCTAAGCTTTCCTGACACAAAACTTCCAGTCTTTATTGAATGGGGTGACATTATTGAAATTAATTTACCGTAATAAAGACTACAGAGAAATGATGAAGCATGTTCCATCTGCTGCACACCCACTGTGACGCTGTGATGTCCATCTTATTAGTAGTCAATATGCCTGATTTGTGCTTAACAGTGTGTCAGAAATCAAATTTTACATGGATTTGTGAACCACTTGGTATTCTAAATAAAATGTTATTCTCCTCGACAGCCTGACAGCTTGTGACAGAATGAATCCATAATGATGTCTTTATTCAAACGTGTACGGAAGTGAAATAATCATAATAATTGCTATCTCTACAGACAAGTAGTGATGGTGGAAACTTTGCGGCTGTGCCTAAAGACTATTACAATGTCCCAATGTGATTATAAATACAAATAAACTTTATCTTGTTTGTTAAGACTTCTACATCTGTTCATTAACCTGATATGACATATCTGGTGGCGCACGCTCTCTTGAGACACAAGAGTTTGCTGTTACAGCTTTAACTGACTGCAGGTATTGACAAAATGTCCTGGATTTCATCAGTTAAGTAACTCCCAACTCAGTATGGGTAAGTTAAAAAAACACACAAAGCGTGGGTTTGTTGGTCTGCTGCTTTCTAGTTATAAGAGTAAATGGCCGTCCACACCAAGAACAATAATTACCACAAATATATTGTTTTAAAAATCTTTTTAACTCAAGGGAATGGCCCACGCCACAACTAATGACAACGACAGTGACGTACGATACCGTGGGGATCACTTTCAGAGTGATTTGATGAATCATATTGTGGTACATACGTTTTTAAACTCTTATATAACTTAATATTAGGGTACGAATTACAGGGGGAAAAAAACATAATTTTACCTGAGACGTGCTGCCAAACAATCTTTGGTGCTGTTTGTTGGTCCTCAGAGGCATTTCCAAACTTTTTTGACTGGGGTGGCAGCAGTGGGGCACTGACTTATGCAGGGGTGACATGAAGCCTGGGTCTTAGCTTTCCGTCAAATTCAAATACCGTCTGAGGACCCCAGTATGGAGAAATATTCAAATACACTAGTACTAACTGCATGTGATTAGCCTAATGTGAACATGTTTGCAAAGAGGAAACTTGTGGGTAACCATATAACCCATTTTCATTCAGATATCTTGAGGTCAAGAGATCATGCCATGCAAATATTTTGTTATTTAGCCCCCTTCGCGACATGCTAACATGACATGGTTGGTACTATTGGATGTGTTAGGTAATCTAGTTTCATATGATACCAGTATCTAAAACAAAGCGGATCAGATTTCAGGCCCCCTCTCTGGAAATAGTCCTTGTTGGTTCTTACTAATTTCTTACTTTTTTTTGTTTTAAGCCGTCTTGTTGTCTCGTCTTTGAACATCTTTGTAAACCAATAACTTTCTGGGTTGCTTTTCTTTGCTCATACAGAAGCTGTTTTAATAGGTTTGGGAAAGATGAATGAAGTATTATATTGGTTGGTTTATTTATGAGACACTGAGCTGGGTTTCTACAGCTAAAGATTGGATCTTGTTTCCTCACATTACAAGTCTCAATGGAGGTTCGGGAACAGGGAAATCAGCCACCTGCGCTGGCTCAGACTATTTCTTCAAGAAAATATAGGCAATTTCAACTTCAACTGACGCTAGACTATTAACTTGTTAGGCTGAAAGCTGACCTTTCCTTTTGAGCAGCATTGTTGTAAATTCACTTTTCCCAACAGTTTTCCATTGTAGTGCAAGTGTTATGGAGGGACAAGTATTTTTTTGTCTTGAGATTCTAACTGTGGCTTCAGTGACAGTTCTATAAGGTGCAAGGATGACTCAAATATTTTAATTTACTTAATAATCTTCAATAATAAATCTTCAAAGTTGAGTGTTTGGGTTTTATGGCTACTGCAGAATCACAGTGTGTCACATACAGCAGCACAGACAGACGCTGTGTTCTGTGTTCATTTAAAATAAGGTAAAACATATGCCCCTTCTTCACTCCTCTTTCAAGCTATCAGATAATATGACAGATGGAGTTGTTTTGGACACAGATGCTCCTCTCTAACAATTTCATGGCAATTCACACTTTAAATCGAGTGATGGTAACTGACTGCACGGTGACAGAAACGACGAGAAAAGTTGTGAACAATCCAACTTTAAATGCCCAAGACACCCTGCAAAAAAGAGCAGGAGCCTGTATCTGAGCAGCAGTAGATATCAGTGTTTGCATATTCAAACCAATAGACCAAAACAATATCACTCCACAGTTTGTGAATTATACAAATCCTCTTGAATAGTGTGTTCTTTCATTTGTAGTGAAGTGAATCAACCTTGTAGAAAAAGCACTTGAATAGAGTAAAAACAACAAATGATCAATATGTGAAGAGATTTAAAAGTTCTAAAGCCAGAAGTGTATTTGGCCTGATAGTAGTGTTAAATAGATTGTTAGTACAATAAGGGCTTGTGCAATTTACATTCCTAAATAATTAATCAGGTGGTTCCTGATTGATTTCTAATGCCACAAGACTAAAGTATATATCCACATTAGCAGCTCTGTGAGGCTGTAATACTAAGAGGTCAAAATGTTGGAAGTGTGGCTTTGTGCCAGACCTGGCAGTGCTTTAAATGTTAAGAGTAAAACTTAATGCAGAATGGAAGATTAGATGAGCAAGAGAAAATGAATATGTGTATACATTGACATAGAAAATGTACAATAAAATGTTGTTTCCCTCTGTTTTCTGTTTCTTGTTTTTATTGTCATGATTTTCATCCACTTGGTAGCCACAAATGTTGGCCTGGCCCACAGCAGGTAGTATATGGAAAAATGTGGCAAATGTTATTGATAAGCCAAAAGCAATGAGTGATTTATTCACATGAAGATGCTGGGTCACAGACCTGATCTTGTTTGTTGTGCTCCACAGATGGGATTTGATGGTCCGCTCTCTGCACAGGAGCAGATGTACATCCTTTATGAAATCAAACTGCAGTGCTACCAGAACCTCTCCAGCATTGAACCAGGGTCAACAGGTATAAAACGTTCCATTTTTATAAAAGGCTACACAATTCTGCACATTTGGGATAATCTGAATTTTTGTTCATGTGGCAGCAATGCAAATAATAAGTGTTGATGATGATGAGGAACGGTGCAGAAAGAATTTGGGAGCTATATATATATATATAGACAGTAAGCATCTGGACAGAAGATGTATGTAAACAAGGGTTTGCTCAGCCCCCTGTTACTTACTGTTGCTATGCCTGCAAGCTCTCCAATTTAGCATGGCACAACAGTAACCTTGGCAGATTTATCACTCAAAATGCTTGGCATCATTTAAACTGAGACTTGAACAGCAGACTTGTCATTTCCAGCCACTGACAACTGTTGCTGGCAGATTTGATCAGCCCTAACCAGCTAGCTAATTAAACCAATGTTAGCTCTATGACCTGGTTAAAAGCCCTTTGCTCCTTAATTTACATACTATCTATTCGTAGGAATGCATTAGTTTAACTGAGTCTAACCTACTTTGAGTTACTGGAATTTATTGTGAGCAATTTTAGCTCTTTAGCTACATCCATGCTAAACCAGCTAAATCTGAAACACCTTTTAACGCTACATGTTTTAATGGTGTTTCGGTCATTTCATTCAATTCAGCTTTATTATTTGTTCCCAGTAGGGTGCTTCTGTACTTCAGCATGCATAAAATCACATAAAAAAAAACATAAGAAACACACAATACCACAGTTGGCATAAACACATGCACAACGTGGCTTGTGCAGTTGGTTGATTTAGGTCCTCTGGAGCAGGCTAGTGTCTACCGTAACCTCACACACTACCTATGATAGTATAATGAACATTGATTTTTATCAGCATCACCTAGCAACATGCCAATTCAGTGTAATACAACCACCATCAAGAGAACAAGACTTCATCTTTATGATTCTGGACTTCTGTGTTACCATGCATTATTGTACTGTAGAGGTGTTCGACTGCACGGAAACACAAAATCTTTTTAGTTCAGCAAACAAAAAACTGTTAATGGCAGCTAACGTGTTAAAAGTCTCAGCTGCTTAACCTCCATTCAGTCCTGTCCTGCTCTTCATAATCTATTCTGTGTTTTAATGTACACACTCTGTTTAGCTGCTCTCATTTAATTATTTTTATATACCAAATGAGCGTGAATTGTAATTAAATTGTGGCTCATTCATGTTAAAAGATGCAGGCAAACAATAACTCCTGTAGGCCTACTGCTGTTCTAAGATGCTGGTTAAATTATGATGTTCTTCTGTACATTCATTAAAAGATTTCACATGTAACAATACAAATGTACAGAAACCCTAACAGCTCTATGGATTTAGCAGTAAATAAAATCCTAATCCTGAGGCCAAGAGGACAATTGTACTGGTGGATTACTCCTAGCCTCACAGACTGTTTGCTATGATTCACTGTTGTGCATGCCAACAATTAAGATCAGCAGTTTGAACACGTTATGTCCACACTAAACAAGCCTGTTTCTACACCTAAAACCAGGTTTTTTACTACACATTCTCTAGAATGGATTAACCTCTTAACAATATCAGGATCCAAAGCTTGTGTAGTAGCTTTCTGTTGCCTCAAACTCTGTTTGTGGTCACATAATACAGATGTTTCTCCTTAAACTGCATTTATGTTGCACCTCACACAGTAAAGGAATTAAGGTTTGCCAGTAATGTCATTTGTGAGCCACAATAAATCAGAATAGTGATGATGGAGAGCAAGAGAGGAAGGTTTAACCAGATGAGATGGTCTGTTGCACAGCTCAACATCTGTCTGCCAGTCATTACCAGTTTTTGGTTTGTTAAAGAAAAAAGTTTCTTCCACTTCCAATTGTTACAGTGTGGTTGAAGAACTTTACCAAAATGGCCTGAAAACATGTAGCATTTCCAGATTTACCTTGCTATGTGTAGATATAGCTAACAAGCTAACAAACTATCTAACACTGTAGACAACTTAACTTACCTGCCAGAAGGTTACCCGTCATCAGCAGTGAAGTGAGGTTTCATTAATGAGTGATGACAACCGACAGTGGAAAATGTTTTTTTTAGCAAGTGATATCGAAGAGACGTCGAACTGAACCACACAGAATTTGCCACCCTTATAATATTTAAAAAAACAACTGAGAACTGCAAAGAGAAAAATAAGGAACACAATCGAAAAATACAGGGGATACAGTACGCTGAAGCTGTGATTTTATATACAAATGTGATTACGTCACCCATTGGTTTGTGGAGTAGCCTCAACTTTGGCATTATGGCCTTCACCGTGTTGGTTTTTTGCAGCCAGTAGTGGTGAAGTACTGTGAGTTGAGCTGTGCATCGACTCGTCTGTAGCAGGAAACAGTGCAACTTGTCTGGTCCCACACGTTCTCGTATTAAGATAAGATGTTACAGATAAACGGTACTCGTTTCTGAACAGATTTTAGGCAAGAAACAGAATCTTAATTAATATTTGATGATCAGCACTGCCTAGTTTGACCTATCTGATCGTTCACAAATATGAGGGTTATATTTATCTGTTGGTAACCCGAATGCCCCTCGCATATTCCTTTCAACGTATGACACGAAATGAGAGGCTTGTCCATCCTGACAACGATATATAATTATGGCAAAGAGCTTCTCCAGGCGCTGCTGAAGTGAAGACAAACCCACAGAAGTTGTTGTAAGCCCTGCATTATATTTCCTAAATGGCCGCAAGGGGTCGGTTGCTAAAAAATAAATTCCAAAATGACTTCTCCCATTCATCTTTATTAGCTAAAGTAAACAGTTCAGGGTGTGAAAGAGTTTATGGCTCTCAGCATCGCCTATAGCTTTTCCTCCGAACACGCTCCTCTTCGCATAGCAGCATGATGATTCATACCCTTACGTAACATTATCGTCCCAAATTTTAGAGTAAACATAGACGATAAAATGCAGGGTATGTTTAGGGGGCCGTGGCTACCATTGGTGATTGACAATTTTAGGTGAGTCCACTCGCAGCGCCAATGCAGCACAACTGCAAATAAAACC